TTGTTCAAACTTTCTGTATATATATATATGCATAATTAAAATGTAAGTACTCTGAAAAAGAAAGTATAAAAATCGAGTGTCTGTAGACCTCTCACGACTGTTTTAAAGACAGCTCATTATTTCCATTCACTCCACCCCCTCCCTTCTGGGCTCCTTCCAAAGCCACGCCCCAAAAACACATGAACGCGCGACTCCGACCGCTGAGCTGAAGACGCATTATGATTATTTACCTGAGACAGCGGAGAGGAAGGAGCGCAGTGCATGTAGTGACATCATGTCAGAATCACATGTAGCCTAATAAAAAAATCTAACTTTATCATTATGAAGATAAACAAATAAGATGTATTTTAGTAGCCTACTCACTATCAAGCTAGCATATTGATATTGGTGAAGTTTAAAATATTGATTCGCTAACGAGCTAGTTATCTATCAGGCAAAGCTAAAAACAGGTTGCATGATACACGTTTTTCCATTGCCATCATTTACACTGTGATGAAGATGAATTTCGTGTAACATTCATAACATATATGGTGTTCTGCATGTAAGAGTTTCCATGATGAAAGCATTGTTGACTCTGATGATGAGGACTACACAGAGACAAGTAGGCTACCGCATCGTCAGCTCGAGGACAGATCCGGGGTCGAGGGCGAAGCAGAGGAGGTCGTCACACGGCGTCACTTTTCAGCCCCTTGAGGTCTCTCAGTTCTCGCCATCGCTGGAAAGCCACGCCGATATTGACACGCGTTTTATTTAATTGTTTATCCAAAGACTTTTTGTTCATTACCTTTTCTAGTAACGTTACTGTCTTCCTTTTTTGCCTGGTTTGCCTTCGCGAACTGCATATGTGAATTTTGATTGGTCTTTCTAGACTCCCTCAAATCAAACGGATACGCGCAAGTGGGCAGGTCCTGTGTGGCAAAAGGATGGTTGCCATGGTTGCGAGAGAGTGACAGTCGCCTAAACCAATCCTTTGTTTCGTCCCGGATGGAAATAATGAGCTGTGTTTAGTGCAGATTAAACGGTCTAGAGTCACTCGATTTTTATACTCTTTTTATCAGAGTACTTACATTTTAATTATGCATTGATATATAGAAAGTTTAAACAAATTTGGAAAAATGTTTTTTATAAAATTCCTACCTACAATACCTTTAACTAAAAAGAAACACCGATTAACGAATTAGTAAGTAATAGCGCACAGATGAAAGTGGTACTTCACTATTAACTAGGCTAATCAAAAACTACGTCATGATTTGTGCAACCAAACACAAACGTCATTTCAAGCATTTGAGATTTCTGGTGAACTTTTAAATGGTATAGGCCTACTTTTAGAAAATTTCTTTAGAAGTATGTAGTAACACTTGAGTCATTAGTTCCCATTATCTTCACTTTAGAATACGGATCCAAATAATTAGTCATTCCCATAGAAGTATGTAGTAACACTTGAAGTCCAAATAGTAAAAAATATTTTGTAAAATATATATTTTATATAAAAGAAAAAATATCAAGTACAGTATATCTGATTTACTGTAAATTTAAACTTCCATAACTTTTTCATATTTTCATTTTTTTTGAAGTGTTTTCTTTAAAACAAGACCAAACTTAGGTCTATATTCCAAAGCATTCTTGAATTACAACCATTTAAGTTTGAAAAGTGCATTTTAATGTCTATTCTCAAAAAGGGGGATGACAGTTTAATTAACATGAGATCCTCTCCAAACAGTCTTTCAGAGTCTCATTCCTGCACGGCTGTAAATCATTACATTGTTTTTGCTGGATGGCTGAAAATCATTTCCTTTATTTGGGGGAAGTCAAACAGGTTTATTGAGTGAAATAAAAAATGAAACATCATGATAATTATGTAGGTCCTCATATGAGAAGTCAATAATGAAAGGGGATTTCTGGCAGGATTTGAGGATTGCTTCAGAGCTTGAGCTCATACCAGAAACCATGTGATCTCTCAGCAAACCCTCCTTCTTGGCTTGACCAAGCTTCTCTTCAAAGCTTCCAAGAAGAAGGAAAAAAAACGGGAAAGGGTGTCCAAAATCAAATCCATGCCCTAAAAATATAAAGGAAAGGCAACATGGGTTGAAATAGCTGATGACATTGTTTATATTACTTTTCAAATTCAAGGACTTTTTGACATTAATCATGGGAAAACATTGAAACATCCTACCACCTCAGACCTTTTGTTAAATATGTGTCCGGTCTTACCGGGTCTTACCCAGCAATTCTGATTGTACCTTTGTTTCCTCAATACATTTCATTAATGTAGTATGGAAAAAGTTTGTGATCTTAAAAGAAATAATAGGCTGTTATACTGCACAAAGTCTAGTACAGCACATCTATACCTCTATCTAAGTGCTGCTCTTTTCATAGAATATTGTAAACATGACATTCCTGTTTACACCCAATCCTACAGAAACTATGTGTTGAGGCAGGAATAGCAAGCTGGGATACTCACAGGACGTGTGTTTGTGTAAATATGGCTTTTCCTGGAAGAGATTAATTGCACTGGCTTACATCTCTGAGGGATTCCCCCACAGACGCACACACATTTTATCATTTACAATGTAAAAATTGTCAGAGTTTGATTGCTTAAAAAAGTAATAGTTATTTTCATTAAATATTCAAATCAATAAATCAATTTTATTGTTAAGTTTTATTATCGCCAAGTTTTGTTACAGTGTGTGAATGGCTGCAGGTCTTTAAAAATGTTACACAAACTAATTAAAAACAAACAAAAGCAAGTAAGCAGAAAGCTGTGGGAAATAAAATTCCTGACACTGATGGTGGCTGTTTGCGCATGAGAAGTATGCGCTTTATCACTGCTGTGGACTCATCCAATGGCCTTCAAATGGCTAAAAGGGACATATTTGTCAAGGCGAGAATACACTACATGACTTTAGTTGATGCTAGTGTTGACATAAGTCAGAATCAGTCAGTCTGCAGATTTTGGGCGGCCGAAGTTGACAGAATATAACAGAAAATGCGTGTATGTTGAGCAGAGTCTCTGATTTTTTACCTTCATTATGATTCCATACAGATAGAGGATATAAAACATGTTTGATCATTCAAGTAGTAGTGTTTTAAAACCTGTTCAGATTGTAAAAGTTGTGTAGCTATATCCCTACCTCAGTTCAGCGTTTTCCTATGCAGGCTGGTAGATTTACGATTTATACAACAGTTAGTTCCAGTCCTCAAATTTGATCCAACAGTGCTGGATTCTCACTGGTTTCACGGCTTACGTGTTTTGTTTTGTTTTCACTCTGCATGGGGGGGATTTTTTAGTGACTCTCCAAGAGATGACTAGGTGTTCTTTATAAATAAAGTTTTTCTTCATCGTTAAACAATGAGTAACACACATATTTCGATAAACAAGTGATTCTTGTCACGTTTATTGATTATAATTCAAAAAGTCTTCATGAGTAAGTCACTGAATCATTCATTCAACCGATTCGTTCAAAACGCTGATTCATTAGCGAACTAGTTCTGCGTCTCAATTCAGAAGCTTCAAAGAACGCGGTTATAGGCCTATTCCACCGTCTGAAAACCCAATACTTACATTTAAAAGTGTAATCCTGTCGTCACCGGTGCAATGAATCTTAGGATATATAGGCAAGGCTGCGAAGGATCCTCTCGTTCTATAGGCTATTGCTCGAGGAACAAAGGACGCACTTGAAGGAACTTTCGAATTGGGACAGCCTTCATCGCACCGATTTGACGCAACCGGCCTTCGAATACAGTTTATGCAGCGTCTGAATTGGAAAGCAGTTTATGTGACTAGTGTTTCGCTAGGAGATGAAACGATTATACTGTTTTGGAACTATTTAGAGCAGAAATAGACCAAATAACTGTAATATTGTATCTAAATATAAATCACACCACTGATTATATAGTTGCCTTTATTCAGAATTACACCTCTCTCGCTAGTGAGCTTAGAAACTGAGAGGAATTGATATCTGCTTTATCCTGCGGTTTCAACACATTCCATTCTCTCCCCCCCACAGACTATAAGCCCTCCTATCCCTGACATCAAAGAAATAAACAATGTTATGCTGCAAGTCTCTCCAGAGCAGAAGTCTCATTAGTATGATTTTTTTTTCACCGACACATTTTAATCTAAAGAACAATGCCATTTTGACATTATTATCATAAACATGTTAATGAAAAAAAAAAAGATAAAAGATACAGCGCATTTACCTAAATGTGAAGTGCCCCAGTCCACTGATCAAGACAGGGATCTCTGTTCTTCGGCGAGAACTCGATACCCCAAACTCTCGCACAATCTCAGTTTCTTTAGTGCTTCCTGACTTCTTATCAGGATCCAAACAAGTTTCTTCCCTTTCCGGGATGCTATAGGGAACAATTTCACTTTTTATACACCCATTGAAATGAACAAGAACTTATGGAAACATGTTTGTTAGTTCTTGTGTGCTTTCATTTTTTTATTTATTTTTTATTTAGATAAATCAAAACAGGTGACCATGGGTAGTTATCATGGTTCTTTTTTTTACTCCAATAAATATTTTTCAGGGATTTTTTTTCTATTCTTGAAAGTCATTTTCTGTACGCACAGGTTAAGGTATTGGTGGGACATGTTGTCACATCATATGAGATAAGCTGAATACATGTCAGCGTGTTTTTGTGTTCACTTGTTTACCAGAGAGCTTTTACAACAATTTTATTTGGGAATTTTAATTTGCAGGATAAAATTAAATAATATTATCATAATTTAATAGAGTTCTGAACATGTTGTAGGATGCTAACATACTGATAGGCTACTCGGGAGACTCTCGGTAAATTCCATTATTGTGTCACTAAGGGTCATTGTGAATGTGTGTAGGCTACAAAGTGGAAGTGAAATGGGAAGGAGAGATGGATAAGTTAGTTACTTCTATAAGTAGCTATTCCCTTAATTACGGGGCATTCCAGTAATCTTCCTCAAATCTCTACACAGGGGAAGGGCTATAGCCAGGATTCTGTTCCGCTGACCAAACAAGTGGGCAGTCACTCTCATTTTTACTCACCCACTGGGAAGATTAGCTAACGCAGATCCACCGCAGGGGGAGGACGTCTCATTTCTAAATCCCAGGACTAACGTTTAACATTGTTTTAAAATGAAGAAAGGGTCGTTTTGTCTCGCCACATTTATTCGTATTGTCTATATGCGGCTAATCGGATTTTGTATTCTGTACTTCTCACTAGTTGCAGGTAAGTGTTTTCGAGGGTGAATAACGTGCCTCTTATTAGTTTGAATGTTTTGTACGTCACTTGTTCAACCCAAGAAAGTGCTGATACTGCAATATTCATTGACAAATGCCGCAGAGACATTGTATTTTCATGGTATAGGCCTGCGTCTTAATACATTGTATAGGCTAACCATGGTACGATGAAACTGAACAAATATTTCTGTCTGCCCGTCCAGTAACTTGATACTGTTCCGTGAGTGAGGGAGCGAATAGACCATAGCCTTAAGACTTTCAGGCATTCATCTTTTAAAAAACGTTTTACTTAGTCCTATTTGTTCTATAGCCTACTTTATCAGTCAAACGCGTATATCTTCAGGTGAAAATAAGAGCTTGTAAGTTTAAAGCTTTGAACCTCTAAAGACTTGTAAAAGTAAACAAATAAATAACTATATGCATTAATCGTATAGGCCTTTTTTTTTTTTTTTTTTTACGGACCTACTTTTTTGGTCTTTACACCTCGCATCTGCAAGCCAGACGAGGGCGCAATAACATTTTTATAAAAAAAAACGTTTTCTTTAGAGCGCTTTGTTGCTGTTGTTGTTGTTCCCAGAAATTCAGACTTTTTTTGTCAGTAGACCCAAGTTGTCAACACTGTGAATGATATTGTAAGAATTCTAGAACAAGAAATCTCACAAAAGTAGGCTAGCCTACAGAGTAAAGGGCCAGTTCACACCAAGGACGAACTATAAAGATAAAGATAGTTCTAAATATCGTTCTCAATATCAAATAATAGCAGAGTTCACACCAGCTATAACGATAACGGCACAGAGATATGATATTGATGGAATCACTTTCAGAACGGTGTTATCCAGCTGATAAACGATATAAAAAAGTCACAGCCAATCAGAATCCATTCTGCTGGAACGAGCTCGAGCGGCAGACAAGCAGGCGCTTAGAATAAACACCGCTGTGTGGACGCTAAAACTTTATCTTTAGTTATCGTCCTTGGTGTGAAAGGGCCTTCATTTACTGTATGCTTGTGTAATGAACAATGTGTATAGCCTAGCCTACTCTCAGTGGATTCTTTTTTGTACAAAATATTCTTACAGTGTGACTGAATAGGCTAGATGACTTCCATATTTTGGAGAAATCGAGGGGGAGGATTTGGATCCAGATCCAACTCCTCCCACCTTACATATACCTAAACCTCCCCATCTCCACCCCCTGATCCCTAACCCCACCCCTAAACCTCCCCATCTCCACCTCCTGATCCCTAACCCCACCCCTAATCCTACCCATCTCCACCCCTGATCCCTAACCCCACCCCTAATCCTACCCATCTCCACCCCCTGATCCCTAACCCCACCCCTAATTCTACCCATCTCCACCCCCTGATCCCTAACCCCACCCCTAATCCAACCCATCTCCACCCCCTGATCCCTAACCCCACCCCTAATCCTGTACTGCAATGAGGTGCTACTGGGATTTTGTGTGAGTTTATTTGTTTTGTGTTTTGCATGATCATCACTCAAAAACTGAATTCATTAGCCTACTCTTACTTTAATTGAAGAAAGTTTTAACACACAATTTAATTTAGTTCAAAATCAGTTTAGTTGGGTCAACATAATTTAGTTGGCTTATGTCAAATATATTTACTGTATGTTTAACTTAACTTCATTACATTAGTAATAAATATTTTTTTATGTTAGTCCAACTTAATTTATTTGATTAATTTACTGATACTTAATTTAAAAATTGTAATGCTCACTAAGGCTGTATTTATTTGATCAGCATATTAGAATGTTTTCTGAAGGATCATGTGACTCTGACTGAAGTCTGGCTTAATGATGCTGAAAGTTCAGCGATACCATCATCATCTGAATAAAATACATTTTAAAATTATATTAAAACAGAAAGCAGTTCTTTTAAATTGTAATAATATTTCACAATATTACTGTTTTTACTGGTTTTTTTTATCAAATAAATGCAGCCTTTGTGAGCATAAGAGATAAAAAAATTATGTTTCCTATCTTTTGACCGGTAGGCTACTCTATTATGTATAATATAAACAGCTGTGGTTACTAAATAACAAAAATATTGTAACAAGAATTTATTGTTTATCATGTACCCGCAAAGACACAAAATATTCAAACCAGCTGAAAATTAATAGAGATTTATAACAAATATTGATTGACCTTTAAAATCAGTTTGGTTCAATTGAAGTCAAATGTATAAAAATAAACCATGCAAATTATGTTAACTAAGCAAATTATGTTGTATGTATTTATGTTTAAGTTTTATGTTAGGTGTATTAAAAAAGGAAATCGAAAGGCACTGTGCACACATGAATACCTAATTATTAGGTGATAAAAAAGGTACTTTGTGATTTTGTGCAGTTTGTCTAGTCAATTGAAAAATATGTTTAAATGTTTAAAAAAAAATCCTGTATTTTTTGCTTTTCTGTGGGCAGGTTCACATGCTGATGAATGTCCTCTTCAGCTCAACCCAGAGAGAGTTATTGTGGAGTTCGGCGGTTCTGTCTCAGTCAACTGCAGCACTTCTGTCCAGCATAAAGGAATGGGAATGGAAGCCAGTGAGGGAGCAGTGCCCAAGAGCAATGGCAGTCTGATCACATGGAAAAAGTCAAACCTGACAGAATGGGACATAGAGCCATTATGCTACATAAACTATGAGAAACAGTGTACAGTGCCTCTCCCAGTGACTATTTACAGTGAGTTTCTCTGTTATTGATATTGTTATATTTTCATTCTCAGAAATATCTACTATACATTGATGACTGCAGATATCAGTGTGTAAATCTTCCTCCACAGAGACTCCAGACAGTGTGTCCATCAGCACTGTGAATCACACCGGACCAATGATGGAGGGAAACCAGTATGAGCTCCAGTGTGACGTTCTCAATGTGGCTCCTGTTCAGAATCTCACTGTCAACTGGTACAAAGGACAGACTCTGGTGGATCAAACCATCTTCACTGGCACCATCCATACTCCAGTCAGTAAAACATCTAAACTCCTGATCCGTCCAGACAGAGCTGATGATGGAGCTCAGTACTGGTGTGAAGCAAAGCTGGAACTGGGAGAAGAAGGACCTCAACCTCCTCCAACAGCCCCGTCAAAACATCTCAACATTACTGTATATTGTAAGTAAGATCCATCAGTTTCTATTATTATTTTTTAAGAACATCTGTTAAAGTCCAAATCAAGCAGATTTTAGCACTTACCATGTGACAAGTTGTGTGGGGATAGGGATCGGATACAGTATGTAACTTTTTCTTTTCAAATTTCTAGATTTAAGATTTTCTAGATAGGTTTGTTAAAAACTACAAGATTAAAATCAATATGGATTAAAGTCGTCGTGAAATCAAAATGTAACCTATTTACTTTGTCAGAGCACATTGCTAGTCTTTTGGTGAACAATTAATCTGATTAATCTTTAATAAAATTCGGAACATTTGCTTCCGCTCTGGAATGGCGTTGCTTCTCTGATGACGTCAGTTTGACGGCTCGGCTTGAATATCCTTTAACCACTCTTCCTCCAACTATCAGTTTTCTATGAGCGAGGGATGCGCTAAAGTAAAACCCCACCCTCTATTCAATATTCCGATTCACTTGGAAATACATCACAACAACACTGGAGAAAAGTCGGTTGCGACTTCCGGTTCACGGGGAGTCTAACATAAGACACTCATGTATATGTGGGAGAAACACCTCTTAAACTGTTTTTCTTTCACTCCTTCCTGCAGCTGGACCGATCATCAATGAGACCAAACTGCCCTCCATAGTGCCTGTGTTTCGAGGATATACAAAGGTGATTGTTTGTGAAGCCGAGGGAAACCCAAAACCAACAATCAGCTGGAATCTCAACACAACTGATATAGTTTATAGTGAAACTCTTACTATAACAGAATCAACACCTGAGGATCTGCACTGCATTGCGAGCAATTCTGTTAACACCACCATCAGACGTGTAAAAGTGTCCATACAAGGTAACTATGCATTTTTGTATCATTTTCAATTCTAAGTGACTTAGTTTAATTGGCGATTTCCACCAGCTGTTTCAGTAACACTGGCAGTAATACTACAGAAAGGTACTGTGGTTGTTTCAAAATAAAATAAAAAATAGTTTTGTCTGATATTAAACAAAATATAAATTTGCGTTATATTAAATATGCAAATTATTGTGAAAAAGCAAAAACAATTTAGTAGTCTAAAAAATGATGTTGTCAGGATATATCAGGTCATTTAAAGTTTCTCTGTTAAAAAATCACACAGATTGATTCTTTTTGTCTTTTGCCTAATGCAAATTTCATTCATCCTTCTTATAAAAAATCACGCACAGCTTTCAGATTTTAGCATGGCTTCCTTTGTGGTTAATGTTTTCGGCCTTTCACAAATTATTTGCACTTTTGTAAGAAGCTGTTTGGTTTGTTGCTCTTGTAATGCTCTCCTTGCATTCAAGTGAAATGGCTTGTGGATCGTGTCACCATAGTTGCCCTGCATGGATTTTTATTTAGATTAGCAGCTGACTTTTGATATGTTGAACTTGAAGCAATCATGTTGGCTTGGTATCTATCCCCAGTTTTGCTTGCTTGGATTTATCTATCCCTAAATTGCTGATTTACTCATATATTTGTTTCTTTTGACACAGAGAATAACGTGCCCATAATAGTATGCATTATTGTTGCTGTAGTGCTGGTCATCTCACTGATCTTCATCTACATCTACTTCACCCACTACAAAAAAAACAAGATGGGCCATTATAATTTCAGGAAGCCCAGAGCACACAATGGACTCTTAGCACAGCCAGCACAGTCCTCATGAAGGAACTCTTTCAGAGCAATATCTCTGCTTTGGTCACGACTCAATCTCCTGTCAGATCAGTCGGAGCAGACGGTCACAAGGATCGGTGTTCTGCTCACTTCACTCTTAGATCGAACTGCCAATCACATCCTCACATTGTCGACCAATGATGTTGATCAACTAAAAACGTTTGAGTAATCCTGGTTAGATTTTTGATTGCTCTTATAAAGGAACACTTCATGTTTAAGGCACATTGCACATTCTAATATTTATTACATTATTATATAAGACACTGAAGTTGTTACTCTAGCCCTTTCATGCATAGAGGTCACTACAGTGGTCAGCTATTAAAAAAGCATTTTCTTGAATTCGCACGGGTTTTTGATGGCATTGTTGTACATCAATCTCTACAGTGGACCCTGGTGCATTATCCTATACATTGTAACCAAGTTGCAAGCCGTTGTGTGTCGATTCCCCCCCCCCCCCCCCCCCCCCCCCCTCCAAACCAAGATGGCAAGGGGTCAGTCAGAAATGCCAAGTTGCTCCGCCCATTCCTTCTATCCTAGGAGACTCTTGCAGATAAAAAAAAAAAAGTTTTGATTTTAGATTGGGAGAAAATTCTGATTAATCACCTGTCCACTATAGTGAACCTCATGCATCAATGGCTATATTTCAGCTACAATTCATACTTATACTGTGAATGCTGTTTTTGAAAATTAACACCATTTTTTGACTGTAAATAAATGTATTTGTGTTATCTATCTATAAATTACAGGAATGTCTGTCTGTCTGTGTGTCTGTCTGTCTGTTAATCGAATATCTCTCGAACCGTTAATCCGATGGATTTCAAACTTGACAGGTGTCTTGCTACGGGCACGACAAAAGCCTCGCTCACACTACAGGAGTTTTAAAATCCTAACCGATTTTGAAATCTGGTTGCCGCTCACACTTAAGGAGAATCTTGAAGGAGATTTGAAAATCGTGACGCATCACACACTACACAATGTTATTAAGATTCGTGCCAGAGAAAGCGCGTGATCTCACGCAACAGATCGGAAGCGGAAAGGTGGATGTAAACAAAATATCTGTCCTTCATATCAAGTCATATTCGTGAAAAGGTTGCCGTGTGACCAAGGAAAGCGAAATCTTTAAAAAAAAAATCATCCTTTTAATAAGGATATTTCTAATGAATGGCGTCAGCTCTGTTCAATACAATGAATCAATGCCATAGATCTCTATAAGGTAAAGCATCAGCAGCGTTGCCATTGCTGCTCAGCTGAGCATTGTAAAGTGGAGCTCAAAGTTAAAATTAAATATTAAAATAATTAACAGCTTGTTTCATTTAACCTATCTTTGAATGAATATAACTTTATAATGAATATAAATATTTCATAATGAAAATATTTTTGTGTAGGCCTAGGCCTAATTCTGTGAATTACACTGCAAACCAAAGTAATAGCCTACAGTAGCTACTACCCACCGGATGAAGAAAGGGCTCTCAGTCTCCACAGAACATAAAATATTCATATTATTTTATTTTTCGTGTTCGCATTTGAGGAAAAAACAATGTTACGGACATGACCGCTCTAAGCGACTTTAAAATATGCTTTAAAACTTTCACAAAGACATCAAACAGAAAGCACAAAACCTTTCTTTAAATCGAATTTCGTTTTGTATTAATTGTATCTTAATTTTAATTAATGTTTCATCAACCAATTGCCTGGATTTAAATAATAAGAAGTAAATATAGCAGACGATAGATAATCACGAAACGGAGGTGTCGGTGATAAATGAACCGAAACTCAGCGTATAAGATAGCCTACTTGCCTCACAGACATGTCTACTTTTAAACAGAACAATTCAAAACGAAAGAAAACAGACTACAGACTGCACTCTGCTTATGTAATCCGTATGAAATGTGCATTTCTCTCTGGCGCGTTCACTACTGAAGATCACGTGCATCCTGCTGAAGACGGAAGAGTTGCAGATGGTTCAGGATCGATATCGAAAAATCGATATTTTTGACAACACTAGATTGTAGGCTACTTAGTTTATTATTTCAGATGCCTTTATTATGCATTTAGTATTTTATTATTATTTATTATACTGTATTATGCTTATTTATTTAGCAATAAATGGATAAATGGAGATAATGCGCGCATCGCGCTGATGAGTCACTCAAAATTGAATGCCTCACATTACCAGATAATCTGTGCCGAACATCGGAACCGATCGAGGTCCTCGACAAGATTTTTTCTCCGATTCTCGGGAGGGGAAAATCGGGCATAAATCGGCCTAAAACTCCTGTAGTGTGAGCCTGGCTTAAGTGCAGTGCCGATTTTGCATATCGTTAAATATATCGGTAAAAGAAGCACACAAGTTGTGTTTTAAAAATAAACATTCTGTCAGCTAAACATTAAGTCAGCTACACTGTTTACTTCTGAATATTGTAGTTATTTAGAAGTAGTTAGTTGTCAGTAGTTAGTTATATTATACATTTATATACATATATACATACATGTGTATACATTTGTGGATGTTAACTGAATCTGTAAATCAGCTACACTGTTTAATTCCGAATATTATGTTTTATTCTGGTCAGCTTAAAGGGATACTCCACTTTTTTTGGAAATAGGCTCATTTTACAACTCCCCCAGAGTTAAACTGTTGAGTTTTACCGTTTTTGAATCCATTCAGCCGATCTCCGGTTCTGGCGGTACAACTTTTAGCATAGCTTAGCATACATCATTGAAGTGGATAAGACCATTAGCATTTCTCACAAAAAAAATGACCAAAGTGTTTCCATTTTTTTCCTATTTAAAACTTGACTCTTCTGTAGTTACATCGTGCACTAAGACCGACGGAAAATGTAAAGTTGCCATTTTCTAGGCTGATATGGGTAGGAACTATACTCTCATTCCTGCATAATAATCAAGAAACTTTTCTGCCGTACCATGAGTGCAGCAGGCGCAATGATATGACAAACTTAGTCCCGGTCACGTTGGAAGTTACCGAGCTGTGAACTATTTTCAGGCGCTGCGTCATATCATTGCTTTTAATATATCATATATCATATCTTTTAACATTTTTCATTTGAAAACCATGCTAAGTGTAAAAATCCTGTCACCGCAGTAGCTCTACATGAACTTATTATCTTAGCAAAAATGTCCATAGTCATTCCTCAGGGAAATAGCAGTTGTCGCTTTGCTATTAACTTACTAGTACTGCACCAGTGAAGAATTTGGGTTGCTTGCCAAGATGATGAATATAGATGAGCCTCTTCTTTATGGCTCTAAAAAGGCTGATGAATTCCACAATAGCCAGAATCATTTTTCACTGGTGTGTGTGTAGCATTGGTCAAAGTACAAGTTTGTAAGCCTCAAGAGTGCACATATTTTTGATTTATGTTTTGCTGGCTGATAAAGCAGTGGTCTTGGACATTGTATTGACATCTGTTCAAATGCATGTTTTTGACATATAATGCCCTCTTTACAACTACAAGTGTCCTTGCACTTGTTTGATTCTATAGCTTCATTTTTTGTAAACCACACACTATTCTTTAATGTGTGAACAAGAACACAATAACCCTATTCAGCTCGACCCGTGGAGTGTTGTCTGCTGGTACAACAGATATGTGTCTGTTAACACACTTCAGTCCCAAAGATGCAGCGCTTGTGACCACTACACCAGATAATAGCAAACATTCTCAGAACATTCTGGCAAGGTTCTCTCAAAGTTTTGAACAAACATTCTTACAGTAACGGTGAAAGAATGTTCTTTCAAAGTTATCTGGTCTTTAATAATGTTCTCGAAACGTTAGCACATATACATCGTTCATGGTAGGTTATAGGCTACTGAAACATTTGGACCTTCTAGTTTTTTCAGAATGTTCAAAGAACATTCTAAATTGTCCCTCAACGTTTGTAAAATGATCAAATGGAATGTTCCCTTAATGTTCATATTACCAAGATTTTTTTCAGGGAACATTCAGAAATAAATTTTTTTGTAACTTAATGTGAACATTAGCAAAATAATCTTAGAACATATTTTTGTTAGATGGGGCCAGTCTGATTATCTTGTGATGCACTGGTTACTCTCAGCATCACATGTGAGTGTGTATGTATGTATTAATGTACATGTAGAATACATGTATGTATTCTATCTCACCTACCATGTCATGAGTAGTAGGCCTACTGAGTTGAGTATTCAGAGATGCTGCTCCTTTCTGCATACTAAATATGCTTATTCAGACAGCGAATGTGTCCATCGATCATGCTGTGGCTCACTCATGAATCAGTTACAAATTACCAATGCAATGCCTGAGGAGGTCCATCATCACTTATTAGCCTAGACTCATAAGAGATATCAATCCGTAAACAAAGCTGTGATTTTATACAGACCCACACCCTCGTCTGAGCTCGAGGATATGTTGACAATCGAGGGAAATGGGGTGAAGTGAAGTAAAGAGTTGTGGCTTTTCAACTGGTTTTTAATGTTCAAAACATTACATTGCCTTTTCTAATAGATAAATGTGCTCTCCTTTTCAAAAACCCCGATTTGAAGTGATACAAATGAATAAAGTTGCTATATGTGCACTTTAGAGATGTGTGGGGGAGGGCTACCATTAACTGAAGCAGGCAGCTATGCGAGGGCAGACTGGGCAGTGGTTTCCTGCGATAAATGAGGGGTCCGAGTCTGTGAGTTTTGTTATCGCCTGAACAATTAAACACTGTAAGCTGGTTAAAAACAGTGTCGACACAGCGCAAACACTGGTAAAATGACGGCGCGGAGCGATCGGATTCTCTTCACGTGTCTAATTTTGGATCTGCTTTCGAGGTTGTATGCGTTGGATGGTAGGACAACTAATCTTGTATCTATCCGTTCCTGAAGGGGAAAATAAATAAAATATAAACATACAATATAATATATAAATATATAGAACAGTTTTTGGTGTTAAATTTGATGAATCTGTCTTAAATACGTCAATGGTGATTAAATAGTCGCTTCTGAAAATACTTTTGTGTAGCACTGTTTAAATAGCGATAGAACGTTGTCAAACAAGATAAATACAACGTTTTTGTTATCATTGTAACCGCAGCCAACCATAAAAGTAGTCCGTAGCAATTGGTTATAAAAGTTAAGTTAGTCTTTCAGTAGGCCTATTTAACAGGTACGGTAGAAAATGTAAAGGGCTCCTGAAGCTATTCACCGGGAAACATCACAGTTTTTGTTTTAGGGTGGTTCCTTAGCCTACTCATTTCACATGTTAGCTTTGACTTGGAAAAGTATCACCCAACTTGCTGATGGTAGTCTTGCTCAAGCAACAGCGACTTGCATACAACGGAGTTTGGATTCCTGCTAAAAAAAATCTTAAACCTAATCTGGTTTACTGTCCTTGTGGTTTTCCATGTCTGGCTAGTTTAGAGTGGTTTGGGTCTGTACAGCTAAACACTAGCTTAGCCAGGCTGCCCACCAGCTAAAAACTGTAAATGCTTGTTTAAGCATTTTTAGCAGGGATAGAAAACGTCTCCATGAAGTCCAGAACATGACACTGGAAAAAATATACCACACTGCTCACAATACACAAAATAGGAAGTTAACCATTTCACAGAATGGAAGCAAAGCCCAGTGTGCTGGAAAATACATCTTAAGATGGTGACTGCTTTGAAGCATGGCTGATGATGGTCATTGGTGGTCAAAGAGCAATAGTTGCAACATACAAACTATTACATACAGTAGCTACCTGTGTCTTAAACAGCACTCAGCTAAAGCAGGGACATGTTTTTTAAAAACACAGTTCTGTAAAAAAAAAAAAAAAAAAAAAAAGAAGCACGTGGGATGTAATTTTGTGATACATTTTAGTTACTCTATTGTTATTGCTTAATGTGTCTTCCAGATATTTCCATCAGTGTTGGGAATCACACCGGACCAATGATAGTGGGCGAGGAGTATGAGCTCCAGTGTGACGTTCGCACTGTGGCCAAGAGTGGTGTTGTGAGATTTTACAGAAGACAGCATCTAGTGAATGAAACAATCTTCACTGACACATTCAATACTTCAGACAGAAATACATATAAACTCCAGATCCATCCAAAAAAAACTGATAATGGAGCTCAGTACTGGTGTGAAGCAGAGCTGGAACTACCTCAACCTCCTCATAAAGTCACATCAAAATCTCTGAGCATTACTGTACATTGTAAGTATAATAATTTGTCCACTTCTCAAACATTCAAGTTTATTTAGCAGGTATTATATTGGTCTTAATTATTAACATGTGAAACCTGTTTTTTCCTTCTTCCTGCAGTTAAACCGATCATCAATGAGACCAAATTGCTTTCCAAAGTGCCTGTGTTTCGAGGATATCCAGTGGTGATTGTTTGCGAAGCCGAGGGAAACCCAAAACCAAAAATCAGCTGGAATCTCAGCACAACTAATAAAGTTGATGGTGAAACTCTTAATATAACAGAATCAACACCTGAGGATCTGCTCTGCATTGCAATTAATTCAGTTGGCAGCACCATCAGACATGTAAAAGTGGTATTAAAAGGTAACTATGCATGTTTGTGTATTTTTTGGTGTACATTTCCAACAGCTACTTGCAGTATTACTTCAAAATATGGGAAATGTTGGGAACTAAAGAAGAATCAGGCCGAACACTTTTTAAAAATAACGTTTATGATGTTCAGTTCACACTAGGTAACATATGCAATGATAGTGGCAAATCATAATGAATAAAATAAACCAAATTGTAAAATATATATTTTTAATTATTATTATGTGTATCAGAATGCATTTAAATTATTTGATTCAACAGATGTTATTATACCAAAGCAAAGGCATTGGAAATTCACTGTTTCACAACGCTGGAAACCTTGAGATAGAGATAAACAAAGATGTGATAAACAAACATGGTTTAAATGTTATACATCATTTTGTGTGCTTTATTTGCCATATCAGAAGCAAACAAGCAAAATGAAAAGGCTGATCATAAGTAAAGTACCAGATATCTGGTACTTTACTTATGATCAGCCTTTTCAATTTGCTTGTTTGCTTCTGATATGGCAAATATTGTTTTCTTCAGGTCACTTAGATATTTAGCAATGGCAACTGTGTTATTCGTTTGCTTGGATTGTGACTGATCTTTTGATGTGCTTTATTTCTCTTGACACAGAGGATTACCTGCCTTTAATAGCAGGACTTGTTGCCATCACAGTGGCGTTCATCTCTGTCATCTTCATCTTCATCTACTCTATCTACTACAAAAAGGCCAAGATGGGCCGTTATAACCTGAAGGATGCCAAGCTTAGTCCACAAAATGGAGACATAGCGCAGAATGGCAAAGACAATAGTATACCTATGAAGAAACTCTCTCAGTCCAATATCCTTGCTTAGGTTATGAATCCCTGGGTTTGTTGCATCTGCCGAGCCCCACTGTCCACATTGGGCAACGTTTTTTTTTTTTTACACTGGATGTCTCTTGGCCTCTGTTCTGGGGCTAGTCTCTTCATGGCTTCATTATATTTATTTTATGGAGAATTGGTGCATTCGCTTCTCTCTTATATCCAGTGTTATTCAACTGCTAATTGCAAAGCAACGAAATAAACGTTTTAGTTTCCCGCAATCTGCTGTTTAAATGCCCAATGGAAAATATCTGACAGAACAAAAACGTTGAGGTGATGGCAAAGAAATGCTGAATGAATTTCAAGTTAAAGGACATTAACTTGAAATTGAAAACGTCCTGCATTGGACGTTTTCAGGATCTTAATGATTCTCTACAATATTCTTCGACTACAAAGGGATATTACTTGGTTAATTAATATTTGCTTTGCACACTAGTTTAAGGGAATCACACACTTTTAAGCTCTTGTTCGATTGTGTAACAAAACTTTTCTTTTGTATATGTCCCAGGCACATTGATCAGATTATGTTTTGTCAAATGCTATACATATATTGAGAAAGACACCATTGTTGAGTCTTTTACTCTGTTATTCCTTTAAAGTTTCAGTTCTTCTGGAGAATCAGCACTTTAGAGGTGGTTGACTGTGAAGAAGTGAAAGTTCTTCTCTCATGTTGAACCTGTGGGAAAGTATCTTGATGCATTTCTGAAAATTCTCTCAGGCCTCATAGTATGTAAAAAAACAACAACAACAACAACGCTGGACATAAAATAAGTGTGCCAGTTTTATGGCTCAAGTAGTTTAATGATGTTAAAAGCATAGTTAACTAAAAAATGACAAGTCTGGCATCATTACTTCACCCTCATGTCTAAAGCTGTATGTTGTGTTTTTTTAGGGGGGGTTTCAGAGCACTAAAGTAGAAATTTATGAACAATTTCTTTTAGCAACCTTTTAGCCTTTTAACTGTGGTTGTATAGAAAAAAGTTTCACCTTTTGTGTTCCACAAAACATTGGAATGACATGAGGGTGAAGTAAATGATGACAGAATTTTCGTTATTGTTTGAACTGTGTTTCATAATGTTATCTCACCTGTATTCTTGTGGGGTTTAAATTATATTAATGTAATTTACCATACAATCTGTCCTTATAAACACATGACATATGTGATTTGAATTTGTACATGCATTTGTTGAGAACATTTTAAGAAAACATATCATTTGTTTAAAAAAAATCTAAAATAAAAATATTTGTGCTTTTTACTCATTTTGCAAAATAACTGAACATTTTGTATTGAACTGTGTGTTTTATCAAGGGGATAAATGCAGAGGTGTTGTGTATAAGAACTAAAATAAATAATTTTTTACCTCAGATGTCTATTTGCCCGTTTCTGATTATTTGCTCCTTAATTACAGATTTATTTCATTGTGCACAACTATGACATTTGATGAGACATGAGAAATGTGTAAGATGAAGAAAACAAACCAATCACTATACTTAGTTTCTGCTGTTTTAAGTTATAACAATATACAAATTATATAAAATACATTAAAACAATATGAAAATGTAGCTACTATTGCAACAGTAAAATAGCCTAGGTTACAAGAGCAGATGCAGTGTTTGCAGAGTAGATTTTTTTTATTTTAAATCTCATACATTGGCAAAATGTAGCCTTGTAAACGTGTAAACTACTTTATTATTATTCCTAAACTTCAATGTAGTTGCTCTACAATTGCAACTACATAATGTTTGCTACATTATTCGACCAGACCCGTCGATAATCAACTGTTCCAACATTGAGATGTTTTATTACGACTAAATAACGTTGTGATGTGCCAACCAAACAGTGAATGCTCACTACTAAAATATTGTATTCTGTCGGTAAAACGGGTTGTGTCACTTTAACCCTCTGGTTATCTTCATTTGTGTCTACACTAGTTATCTTTGGGGTCTCCAGGGACCCCAGACAATAACATTTGATTTCGTAACGCAATAAAAGTTTTTTTTTTTTTTTTTTTTACAAATGTAATTTGACTCTGTTTATTAATGTTTTTACTCAACATTTGTGCAGTTTTTGGAGGATTTATGATATCTTTTAAATTTCTATAAATAAATAAATATTTATTTAAATAGGCTTTTTACAAAAAAAACAACAACAGCATTTTATGTAAAATTCACTTTATAAAAGACCCAGATTTCTAACTTTCATTCATGGAGATAACATGGATAATTTTACATGGTTTAATGTAAGATTTTTGGCCATTGTTTGGAAAATGCAGTAAAAAAAAAAAAAAATCACTTTAACCTCTAGATGGCTATATTCCACTATTTGCTATTTGACAAATCAAAATATATCTTTTCACAAGTTTTTCCAGTTGGATTCATATCTAAATATTATAAAATCACAATAAAAAAAAAAAAAAATAAAAAAAAACTTTTTGTCAAAGTTTAGCATTTTTTGTACTGACAAAAGTTTTTCAATAATGTTACATTATGATTAGAATCAAACCTGAACAAGATGTTACAAAGAGAATTGTTGGAGTCTTTAGATTTTATCTTTTATTTCAATCATCTGTTTTTAATATAATTCTACAATTTGAACAACATGTCAGTTACTAACTGTAACAGAACAGAAATGAACAGTTATATTACATATTGAGTAAAAGTAGGCTACATGACATGAACATCAAAATGCAATAAACTGAACAACAATAACAAATGATCAAATAGAGCAGTAAAAAAAGTAAATTTAGTTAAAAAAAACAGTGAATGGGGAAAAAAATCGAACAACTAGGAACAATAATTGGTGGTCTCATCTCATAGAGTCTCGTTTACAGTGCACTGTAGGTGTTTATGCGTCAGTGCACTGCAGGCAGTATGCATAGCCATATTAGACATTCTCTGGTAAAGCCTTACAAATGTATTCCTGTGTGAGTGACGTGTGTGTGTGTGTGTGTGTGTGTGTGTGTGTGTGTGTGTGTGTGTGTGTGTGTGTGTGTGTGTGTGTGTGTGTGTGTGTGTGTCTGTGTCTGTGCGCGCATTGTGGATGTTTTTTGCATTGTTGGAAGTGTGCCACTTTATTTCTGTCTATGTGTTCTGCATTGTTTCTGATTTTGATGATGAATTTTGTATATTTACTATGCGGGGTCTCCAGGGACCCCTATCATTCCAATTTTTTTTTTTTTTTTTTAGATCTAGAAAGTGTTTAGAGCCGTAGAAAGTTTCATACCATTTGGACAAAGAGAACATTTTTTTTTAAATTTGAGTAAAAGTCATTTGCGGGTTAAAAAGACCCCGAAGATAATGAGAGGGTTAATAAGAGAGTCTGATGTTTGAAGTGAAAGTAATCAATACGAGAACCGCGCATGAGATTATCCCGCCCTAAACCACTGTGTTCGGAGCTGAGGAACCTCCCATGTGATCTGCGAGGATGGTTTCATTTCTATATAGGTGCTTCTGTGGAAAAAACATATCCAGTTGTGATCTGGGTGGGGTTTTGCTTGAGGAACCAAAACAGTCACTCATCTGAGAACAGTGTAGGGGGACGTATACTTATCCACCAGCCTTTTAACCGCGCCTTTTGTCCGGTCGACGGTTTCCTTGAACACTTTTAATATGCTGCAATATTTCTTTGGACATCTTTACCTCTTTGCAGTTTTACTGTTTGTGACTCTCACAGGTTTGTATTGACTTAGTTCCCTTTTCATTCTACCGATAGCCTATGAAGCGAGAACTTTCATTGACTGGGATATAGCCTACGAGTTTAAATGCCATTTCGAATATTAGGCCTACTTGTTTCCCAACGTTGACCTACATTTTCTCTGTGTTCAAATGTTGACATGTTTGAGTTTGAAAGCTAATTCATTACTGAACTGGCGCTATATATAGGCGGATAGCCTATACAAGCGCTCACTAGTAGCCTATAGTATAGGCAAGTGAGCGCTTGTAATGTGAGAGCTATGACTTGTGCTTGAGTACACAGTATTTTGAGTGCTGGCAAACCCTTGAGCATGTAATCTTTGGATTTGTATAGATATGACCTTTAAAAAGTAGCTAATACAGTCATGAGTTATGACAGTGAAAGCTTTTTTATAATGCTGATATTTCTACAAATATCCACTTTTTGTGTACGGACAAGCCGGGTTGTGAAGCAGCAAAATACAATATGAAGCGGTAAAAAAATACTTGTCCTTGAAGAGTTCAGATACTGTAACTGATAATGATGTCAATATGACATTTTTTTATTTTAATTTATGGAATTGTATATCATATTAATAAGGGTGAGTTGTGAGGGTAATGGGTTTGACACAAAGGGATTCACCCCAAAATTCTGTCATTAATTACTCACCCTTATGTCGTTCCAAACCTGCAAGACTTTTGTTCATCTTCAAAACACGAATGAAGATCTTTTTTATTAAATCTGAGAGCTCTCTGTCCCTCCATTGACAGCCTATGCAACTACCACTTTCAAGCCAAGATAGTAAAGACATCATTAAAGTAGTCCATATGACTCCAGTGCTTTAACCTCAATTTTATGAAGCGACGCGAGTGCTTTGTTTGTGCAAATTGTTTTTTATCTCTGACGCGCAACTTCCAAAATATAAATAAAATGTTTATTTCCTGCAACAACTCGTGCTTAATTACTAAAAGAGAAGTTGGAAACGGGGCTGAGACAGGACAATATGCATATTAATGGCGAAAGAATAATCAGATAAAATAAAAACTGCTTTCTTTGACTATTTTAAGTAAAATGTCTTATAGCACAGTAAAAACGGGTGCCTGGCTAACTGCTTGTCATTGTAAATGGCTTACAAATATGTTAATGAAGAACATGATTTTGTGGACTGACCCTATGTGTCAGTGAAGTTCATTAGTTTAATGCCAATATGATGAGAGTTGATGAGCCTCTTTGTTTTAAACAGTCATAAACTGTTATAGACTGATGGTCAGCGACGTGCACAGGAATTTTGAGGGGCAGTTGCTCTGACCTGAAAAAAGCCCCCCACCCCCCCAAAAAAAACCTCACGGGGTATATGAAGAACTGAGAATAACAGGGTCTTTATTAAAATATATATACACAAAGAAGTAAAAAACTGAAATACAGCACTCAATCACCTTAACTACTACTAATAATAACACATGACTTGAGTCATGAAAATATACATCAATATCCCTACATCAATATCCCCAATATGGTCTTATTATTATTTATAAAGATTGCAAAACGTCAGAGATGACAGGCTTATGATATACAACTTTGTAAACAGTATACAAAATGTATTAACAATATGTTTAATGTCACCAAAATACACATGAGAAAAAGAGTTCCTCATATTATTGTTTATTGTTTTTTTAATTTATTATTATTTTTTATTTTATTTTTTTAAATTGGAAAAGAAATAATCTGTATTGAATTGACAGATGGGGAAAAACTCATATTGGCATATGGGCATTTGCCCGGGCAACCTGAGCACGTCCCTGCTGATGGTCTTCTTCTACAAGACCAGATCCTGACCAAGAATCGAGACCAGTCCTTTCTTTTAACATGTGATATTTGCTGTCATTGTTAGTCTGTCAAGTAAATAATACCTGTATGCTATTATTCTGAATTCTTCACTGTGTTTAACAGGTTCACATGCTGATGAATGTCCAGTTCAGCTCAACCCAGAGAGAGTTATTGTGGAGTTCGGCGGTTCTGTCTCAGCCGACTGCAGCACTTCTGTCCAGCATAAAGGGATGGGATGGGAAGCCAGTGAGGGAGCAGTGCCCAAGAGCCAAGACAGTCTGATCACATGGAGAGTGTCAAACCTGACAGAATGGGACATAAAGCCATTATGCTACATAAACCATAAGGAACAGTGTACAGTGACTCTCCCAGTGACTATTTACAGTGAGTTTCTCTGTTATTGATATTGTTATATTTTCATTCTCAGAAATATCTACTATATATTCATGACTGCAGATATCAGTGTGTAAATCTTCCTCCACAGAGACTCCAGACAGTGTGTCCATCAGCACTGTGAATCACACCGGACCAATGATGGAGGGAAACCAGTATGAGCTCCAGTGTGACGTTCTCAATGTGGCTCCTGTTCAGAATCTCACTGTCAACTGGTACAAAGGACAGACTCTGGTGGATCAAACCATCTTCACTGACACCATCCATACTCCAGTCAGTAAAACATCTAAACTCCTGATCCGTCCAGACAGAGCTGATGATGGAGCTCAGTACTGGTGTGAAGCAAAGCTGGAACTGGGAGAAGAAGGACCTCAACCTCCTCCAACAGCCCCGTCAAAACATCTCAATGTTGAAGTTTACTGTAGGTTTATTTTTTGCAAATCTTGGAAATTTTATTCAATTTAATTCATTTATATTTCGGAATGGCCTTCTAGTGTGAATGATTATTCATCAGATGAAGTTAATTAACATTAACAATAATTAACAATATATCAATTAAAATGTTCCTCTGTCCTCCTCAGATAAACCAAAACACTCCAGTTCAACAGAGACCATCAATATAAATGATGAGCTCACACTAAACTGTACAGTGAAGGCAAACCCGTCTCCTACGTACTCATGGCAGTCAGAACATCTGAAAGAGACGATCAAGTCCTCAGTGCTTCTGTCCTCCACACTCAGTTCAGGAAACTACACGTGCATCGCCTCAAACTCTCAGGGAAGAGACAGCAAAGTGTTCATCCTCACATCTACAGGTCAGTTCTAAATAAACAATAATCTGCCTCTCAGTTTAAAGTTACAGTTACTGATTTCTAAATTCTTACTGTTCAATAGAGCGCTGCAGTGATGATGTATTTTTGTAGGCCAACCCGAAAGTTATAATAACTCTGGTTCCCTCAATAAAAACCCAATAGCATTTTTCCATTGGCTTTATAGAAAGAAAGCTCTGTGACCAACAAAATATGATTTTTAAATGCTTTATTCATCATGATAATCTTCACAAATGAACACAATTTTTATGAATTTTAGAGCCTAAATACAATGGCCAGAAGAAAAAAGCAAAACGTAGGCTATAAAACATTTTGAGTTATAATAGTTTGCAAGAGTGTGATTATAAACACAGGTAGGCTGTATAAGCAGACTATAGTGAGAAGATGAGGTTAAGTTGTTTGGTGTAATTGTTTAATCTCTTAATGTCTGGAGTCCAATTTCACCCCCTGTTAGCAACTGCTTTTTTCAAGACAAGAAAAAAAAATCACAAGGGGGTTTTACTGATGTATTTTATATAGAAAAAAAATGTACAAATATCTTGAGCTTGTGATAAACACAGACCTTATTTCAGGCATTTTACCAACAACCCATTGACATTGGGACGATGGAACCAGAAGTGTTAAAATGCTAACTCTTTTCTGCGTTTGGCCTAAAAAATACATCATACACCCCTAAAAATAAAGGTTCTTTAAATGTTCTTAAATGTATGCATGAAGAACCTTTAACATTCTTGGAACCTTTCCATTCCACAAAACGTTCTTTATAGTGGAATAAGATTCTTTAGATTTTTTAAATGTTCTTCACACTAAAAGAAAAATGTAATTATGCTACTCTAAAGGTCCCTAATTTTGTTTTGAGGTCTCCTACAATATGATCATAATAATGCACATCACCTCTTGTCTCAGAGTGTCTGAAACTGCTCGAATTCAGTCTCTCTAAAACCCCCCTTTCCGAGAGCTTCCTCTGCTCTGATTGGTCAGACGGCCCAGTCTGTTGTGATTGGTCGACCGCTTACAGTGCGCGTCAGAAACAAAATGTCAATTAGCATATCTGAATTTCAGCTGCGTATCTTCCTCAGCACTTGCTACACAGTGATACGAACAGTAACGATGGAGTCGGTTTAACCTTATCAATTTGAGTCCTCATCCTTTGGAAGTGCAGCAAAGTGTATTTGCTTTGTCAGCACAGAAAACAGCGTCTTCTCGACATGTCGACAACACGAACCAAACTCTTTTAGACCTCAGCTACAACTGCAGTGTTGAGGGTGGGTCAAAGTAGACGCTGGTCTTGGGCAGCCAATGAGGACCATAGGCGGACAGTATGCAAATTTCAGACAGTTCAGAATCAGTTCTTTCATTTAGGAGACAATAACGTTATTTGTCGTGCACTTTGACCTTTGAATCTTTGCAGACCTTTTACATTCACAAACAGCTTCAGTATATTAGGCACTACATGAAAAGTACCATCTGAAAAAGCATAATACACAGGCACTTTAAGAGTGTAACTGCAGCACCATATAACAATGAGAGCTTCTGATACAGAGTAGCCTCGGTTTATGTGTGTTACAATTCTGCTAGTGTAGTTTCATATAAGCATTTTATTTAGAAGGAGCAACTAGAAAACAAAAGTCAACAGCTTTTTATTGGTTATATAGACTACAATATTATTAGAAATCTTTTCCATTTGAAATGAAAATTGAGACAGGAAACAAGAATGTGTTTGTGACATTTTAGCAAGCTGGTTATGTTAAACTCTCAGTATTGATTTGTCCCAAAGTTCATCCTTTATCTGTTTTTTTGCTGTCTTGAATACGCTTCACATTTGCATTTATTCATTCATCAGGCATCTAACACAAAATGAGGAATAGGGCAACAATAGTGTGTTGTAGTCTCCCGCACACTGGTGTTGTGTTCCTGCTGAGCCGCTCCAGGACGGCTGCTGGTCTGTGTGTCGCTTCTTTTGCTGAAACTGTTGATGGCTTCATCTGTTTCTAAAATCATTCATGTCATTTCTCCCACAGACAGAACCACATTCTGGGCTATTATTTTATCCGGCGTGGCAGTGGCAGTGGTGTTAATCGTCTCTTATGTGATATTCAAATGCAATGCATCCCCGAATTCTGTCATTTGATGGACTTGCAAGAGATGACCTCAAAATGGGATCTTCTCCTCAGGGAGATTGTGAAAAACTTGATTATTATGGAGTATTCTTCAAATAACTGACTTGATTGTGCATGGGTGTTGCGGTAAACCAGAAACTGTTACGAAACAGCACTTTTTTCTTTTTAAATCGACAAGTTAGATTTATTTGTATGTGTGCTTACTGATGATTCTTGACAGAATTATGACTTAATAATTTTATATAACCACTTATTACATATAACCACTTTTTGTGGAAAACCCATTACTGTACAACACTATATGAATGTTTTTTGTCTTTACATATATGGTCATATTTTAATTATTGTCATAATTTCCTTGCTATGGTCACATTTTTAGTGTCTATGTGAATTAAGTGCCGAGTATGTACTGTAAAATATTTATAACGTAAGTTGTGGATGTCATATTACATGCCACACATGTAATAATAACAATACTAATAATAATAATGTTTAATTAGTCTGTATTTTACTTTAGTCCTAATTGTAAGACATCACTTACATTTTTATTGATTTACTGTTTTATTCATAGCTAAAGTGAACTTGTTTTTTATACAGCCTCACATCATTTTTCATCAGGCTCAATAGGCTTGTCACTATTAAATGACCAGCGTGCCTTTTTTCTATGCATTTTTTATAAAACAGCAAGGATTGATAGAATATTGGATTGAACATAAGTTATCAAGAGAATGTTATAAATGATTTAAATATGCTATATTTATTTAAACTAACCCTAACTGTAATCCTTACCTTAACTAACTGAAAACTGATAGTTAACTTTATGAACTTATGGCGCTTTTCCACTGCATGGTACGGTACGGCTCACTTGTGGCGCTTTTCCACTGCATGGTACAGTACGGTACGGGTCGCTTTAAATGGTACCACCTCTGTTGAGGTTCCAAGCGTACCGTACCGATACTAAAATGTGACGTGAACACAAACCCGCTAGATTTAAATAGCCAGTAACAGCTTCCGCTGTAGCACCTGTTTTAAAACTACTTGCTTGACTTGCTTGAAGAAAAAAGAAAGAAAGAAAACTTCCAAAAAAGAAATGGCTGAATCGTGGTCAGTGGACGAAGTGCAGACGTTCCTCTCGTTGGTTGCCGAGGAGCGGATAAACTATGATGGTCAGACTATAATCCCACCCACTTTGAAGCGGTACTAACTGCAGTGGAAAAGCAAACTGAGCTAAAGCGAGCCGAGCCGTGCCGTGCTGAGCCGAGTCGTACCACGCAGTGGAAAAGCGAACCGTGTCGCGCCGAGCCGAACCGTCCTGAACCGTACCAGCAGTGGAAAAGCGCCATTAGTTAACTGCTGGCTAATAATAGAAACATTAACATTAATCTACCTTTTGGGAATGAAGCAAAGATCAATTAACTAAAAAAATGATATCAGTGGCCAACAACTTCAACAGAAAAGGATGTTAAAGTTAACATCGTTAACACCCTTGATAAGTAGTTCTACTTATCAAGGGTGTTTAACATCCTGACTACTTTATCATGTCTAAATGTGTTAAAAAATGTTGTAGGACACATGTTGTAGTAAACGTCTATGTTGCTTCTTATGAATGTATAGCGTTACTTTTTCATGTTAATTTTATTTTTATGAATACAGAAACTGGTTGAAATGGTTGTAACTTGTTGCCTCAAATGTCTTTGTTTGGTGTTTTTAATATGTTTTAAGACAAACCATGTGCAAATACATATTAAGTCAACACCATTGCTGAGTATTTTCTCCTTAAAACTGCAGTGAACCAAAAACAGTCTCAAAAACACGGTTTGAAATCGCTGGTGTTTCTGACGTCACAAACTACCTTGCCAGCAAACACATTTACGTTGTGGCAACGTCTGTGACACGTTTCATTTCTGCTATGGCAACGTCGCTGTCTACGTGCTCGCAACATTGTAACAACGTAGAATTGTAAGACGCGACAGGGCTGTAGCAACGTTATTGCGCGACATTCAGCAACTGAGAGACGACGTTCTGACAATTATTTTATTTTTTTGCTAGATATAGATATCCCCTATTTAGCATGTTATGTTTTGAGGTTAATTTTTAATTAGTTGGATAATTTTTAGATAATTATATACTTCTTTTTTTTTTCAGTGAAAGCAAGTGGTAGTTCTGATCAAAAGACGCAGGTACAGCATCTGCAACCAAGCCAGCACGGGACACATCACAGGAAAGCTTTCTCAAAATCTGACGCACCACAAAACCTGAAATGTGCACAAGGACATTGTCCACAAGGCTACCAAAGCAACACATTCTCATCCCAAGGCGTCATCTAACTGACACTTTTGACCATGCGTCAACATGCCGACGCACATGGAACCCCTTAAGCGTCAATATGAGACGCTCATCCTCGGGCGTCATCTAACAGACGCTTTTGACCATGCGTCTAAATCTGACGCACATGGCACCCTTTAGCGTCAGTTAGATGACGCTTCCGTTATGGGTAGGTTTAGGTCTGGGGTAGGGTTAGGGTTAGACCACTAGGAGGCGCGTCTCATATTGACGCTTAAGGGGTACCATGTGCGTCGGCATGTTGACGCATGGTCAAAAGCGTCAGTTAGATGACACCTTGGGATGAGAACGGGCTGGGTTGGCAGGTAGCTGTGGTCCCACACAAGTGCAGAAACGTTTACAAAAGGGGATGGAAGCTCCTCAGATTCATGTATTGCTAGATGAATTCCCTGATGTGCTCAGAGACACAGCACCGGGCCATGAGACGCCGGCACTGGCACTGGCCTGCAGTATTGTTATTCCATCCCCCTAAAAACCAAACAAACACACACAAACATGAAAATCTTCATCAAATGAAGAAAG